AGATATCTGACTTCAGATATCTGACTTCAGATATCTGACTTCAGATATCTGACTTCAGATATCTGACTTCAGATATCTGACTTCAGATATCTGACATCAGATATCTGACATCAGATATCTGACATCAGATATCTGACATCAGATATCTGACATCAGATATCTGACTTCAGATATCATTTTTAATGTCTCAGTGTGTGGATGCTTTTTTACCTGCACCCTTCTCTGTTTGCATACAGGTGTTTTGTGTAGGCTTATTAAACATTACTGGTGGTGATAAATGTCTGAGTTTGATATGTATGTGTGTATCAGGACATTGACGGGTCTGGGGATGTTGGTTTGTTCGATGGATGGCACAGTCGCCTATTTGGACTTCTCCCTGGATGAACTGGGAGACCCGCTGAATGAAGAGGAGAAGGTAAGAAGCATCAAGGCATCACTGAAATTGTGACTGTATGTTTACAACTAGTCCTGTGTACACTTAAGACCTGTGTCATATATATTCTACTACAATGGTAGATGCTCATGTTAAACATAGCTAGAGTTTCAAATAATGAGGTCAGCTTGTGTACAAGGATATCATGTAGGTCAAGTCTCAAGCTTTGAATGCTTGGTTTCAGATGGTGTTTTCCGCTCTTGGCTGTGTTTTATGACATATGGGGGATATCCCAAATGTGGTCATCTCAGGCACATGGCTCTGCCGGTGTGTGGAGAAATCTGCCCCACTTACTGTTTAATTTTGGTTGTGAGTTGCAGCCAACCAGGAGAAAGTAGGTTTAGAGAATAAGGAGCTAAGACGGCTTGTTTCAAACAGAAGATGAACTGAGGGATAGAGACCAAGGCCCTGTGTAAGATTAGTAAGGTTTATTTTAAGTGCAGACTATGCAAAGCTATTCCAGTAGACTATAACAATAAATATATGGAGCTGGAAAAAACGAGGTCCAATTTAAACATTTTTTTGGAGCCTGAGTAAGTGCCCAGGGGTGTTGACCATCTGAGCAGCTTGCCTTATGTACTGTCTTTCTTTACTTGTGGGGAGTAATTTAGGAGCCCAGTAAGATAAATAAAGATTATTTGAACTGTGCCTTATACAGATCTACTCTAGTAGAGTGCAGCAATGAAAACGTAGAGCTGAAAATATGTACTGCTGATATATTTAAAGTCAAAGTCTTCCCCTGATCTTTTATTTATTTAGCTAATAATAAACTCTAAACCAGCTAACAAATACAAAGTTTTATTTAAACCACATAACAAAGTTGTCCCTTCTCATCTTGTTTTTCATTCTTAGAAGTAGAGAAAAGTAATCAGTGAATGAAAAATGCTACACATGAGGCCCAGACTCTGCTTTATGTATAATTATTGGTTGACATCTTTATATTCCAGGTTTTTATTGCTAAGCAGTTTAACAGATTTTTTTAAATTTTGTTGGTGGTTCTTGCTTAAATAAGGTTTCTTCCCTCCTAGAAAACTTTTCTTTTCCTTCTTGTGACAAATAGAACAGTATCCATCAGAACATCTACGGTAAGAGTCTGGCTATAACCAGCACCGAGGCTCAGCTCTCCACCACCATCATCGAGAACCCCGAGATTCTCAAATACCAACAGGAGCGGCAGAACTCTGCCCAGGCCAACTCAGGACCAGGTGCTGCTGCACCTGAATCCTCAGCACCCAAACTCAACAGTGTGATGAACGGGGAGTCTCTGGAGGACATCAGGAAGGTAGATGGAGCAGCCATCTATAATAAATGAAATTAAGGGAAAAAAAATGCTTACATAGTTCTGGGAGGTGCTTCCTGGAAGCATATCAGAAACCTGATAATTATATTTTCATTGGGTTTTTGGAAAACTGTTAGAGTAGAGACAAAATACATTAGAAAGTCCAACACAGTTTAAAATATACTAATACTTATGTTTTTTATATATATA